ACAGTACCACATGAAAGTACTGCTCAATAGCTTTCATTTGAATGGTCACACATTAGGGTTTCATCCACAGACTTAAACGTTAGAACCACCTTGTACAGGATGATAAACAGTACCACATGAAAGTGCTACTCCTCAGTAGCTTTCATTTGAATGGTCTCACACACTAGGGTTTCTACGACAAACTTAGAAGTTAGAAGCACCTCATAACAGCATAATGAACAGCATCAGCTCTTCAGTTTTAATTGCGTTGCACTTTCCCCGCATGCTCAAAGGTTGTGCTTTCTGTTCCCTCAGTGAATATCTCAGTGATATTTACAAGTGATGCTGTTTTTTGTTTTTAATAGAAAACGAAATGACGTCTACAAATGTATGAACCATGACTGGTTGAAGGTAAGAGATCATGAAAATGTTCATGAAGGCATATCTGTATTTGGAATAATCCCCCCTAGTTTGTGCTGAAAATTGCGGTGAATAAGGACTTGTTCATTTAAGAGAAGACGACAAACACGAATACCCGAAGACGTGTGTACATGAAGACTGTACCATGGCTTAAAAGAGAGTCGGAAACTAATGAAATATTGCAGTTACGTTAGGGCATGTTCTTATGTTGTTTAGACTAGAGTGATATTTTCTACAGTCGATACGTATTTTCTCAACAACTGCTTCATCTGACGACTTCCAAGGTTTCAACAGACCTTCATGAGTTGAAAATTTTAATTTTTAAGACAGGTTGAAGGGTTTTCATAAACTTTTTCAGCAGTAGGGCAACTGATTTTCAGAGGCGGGCAAAACATTTTGAACTGAACTTCTTCGCAAAAAAAACTGTCCTGTGGATGTTCAAACCAGGCAGGCAAAATCATCCTCGCAGCCAGTCAAATTGCCTGGTGCCCTTGATGAAACCCCTGAAGTTGTACCACGTAGTTACTTGTGTAGTTACATCAATATTTACCTTGTTTTGGTTGCAACAACAGAAAATCAAGACCATCAAAGCACAGAAGCTCAGCACGGAGAACTTGAAGAAATTCATTGCGCGTCGTCGTTGGGCGGTGAGTCGTCATACATTGCTGCATTTCAATATATAAACTCTCCTAACCAAGTTCTGTGAGTGGTTTGTAGCATTAGTTGGGAGAATCTGACGTTATGTCAAACATGTTTTCCTCAGCTATCGTTTACAACGTACGTAAAATTATGTTGTGGCTCCGAATGCAGTACAAGCGATATTTGAGTCTGAAACTGCATGGGTTGTTATCAACACATAATATTTGACTTGGCTCTCAGACTTTAGAAGTTTGTCTTCACGTTTGTTGCCGATGCTTATCAAAACTTAAGCTTAGATTAGGTTAACTTCACTTCTTGCCGGTTTACTCGTGTGAGGTACAGTGACAGAAGTGTCTCTCAAAATACGATGGCAAAACAAGAACGTGAAATGACCAAGTTCTGCGTAGTCTGAGGAACGCGAACGACAATGGCTAATTTTTGGTATTTCCATTTGGAACTGAACGTTGTCACAGCATATTTAGCCTGAGCACGTTTTTGGAGCCATTGGTGTGGTGACCAGATCTAAACAATTGCGAATTTCGTCGGTAAAATATAAATTCATTTTTGACTGGGCGTCGTCCTCGGCGTCGCCGTCGTCATTGCTTGAGCTCCCTATTGACTAAGTGGAAATAGAGTTGAGTAAATATGTTTTATTTCTTTCTTTCAGAGAACGGCGAATGCTTTGCGTGCTCTGAGCCGAATGGGATCTCTTGGTGGGCTGATGGCTGGGGGAGGCAAGGGTGGTGGAGCTGCAGGTGCTGCTGCTCCCAAACCTGGCGGCTTCCTCCAGAAGGTGAAGGAGGAGAAAGCCAAGGAGGAATCTCAGGAGAAATCACCCAAACCTGAGCCGAAGAAGAAGGAAGCTCCCAAGGAAGAACCCAAGAAAACACCAGGTGATAACCTCGTGCCAGAAAGACGAGGCGCGAATCTGTCGGGCCGCAGAAGTCCCGCCCTGAGTGGCAGGAGAAGCCCGATGTCTCGGGCAGAAATCCGTAAGTATAGCACTCCTGATCCACGCGTTTAACACGTGCAACCATATGTTTGATCACGTGCATCGTCTTGCTTGTGTTGGTATGGAACGACTAACAGACTAAGAGTGGCAACCAGAAATGTAACGCGTCTGTGTTATCCTATCGGGAGTTCCACGGGGTCTGTTGTCTTTCTTACGATTTCCGAAGGCCAATGTTCTAAACAAAAGCTTCTGTGCTGACAGCAGCACATCTCTGTTTATCGTCCAAACCTATTGTCACTTAATATCTAACGAGTATCTTCACAGGCTCTGTTTCCACGGGGCCGGGGTCTTTCTCACGGCCCTTTCTCGCGATTTCCGAAGGCTAACGTTCGAAACGACAGCTTCTGTGCTGGACAGCAGCAGATCTCTGTCTTTTGTCTACGTCTATTGGAAATTAACATCTAACGAGTCCCTGGACAGGCTCTGAACGGGTATTTGGATTTGCGGATCAAATCCAAGTCCTTCCAGGATTTTTTTTTTTTTTTTTCAGTTTGTCCTTCAGGATTACTATCTCCCTTTTCTCGGAAGTTCTGCTTCGAGAAAACAATTCTTTAGTACGTGATCTATACCAGTTTCATTGTCATTCTTGTCTAGCGTTACTGGCGTTTTTCTTGTATCTACTATATTACATCTCTATTGCTGCTAAGATTAGCTTTTTTTCCCCGTCTTTTGTTTGCGTTCATTGGTGCGTAATGTGAGAAAAAAAAATTTTTCACCTTGAGCTTCTTTGTTACACGCTCAAATTTTCAAAAAAAAAGTCTTTACAGCTTTGGTGTTCTCCTCAAGGTGATGAAATTCTTGATTCTCATATCCAGTCCACTTCAATTTGTTATAAAAAGGTGAAGAGAATTTACTAATGAGTCACTACTGCAGCTAATGCCTTTTTTGTGCGCCTTTCTCACTGTTAAAGACCTTGTTGTAGTTAGCCCTTCAATCTTCCAAAGACTCAAAACCATGATTACTAATCACTATTACTAATTTTCTCTTCTAAAAGAATTATTTGCTTAATTTTCTATTCCCTTATTGATGATTTTCTCTTGTTACTAAAACAAAGTTTTTCCTTTCTGTTTTTTTTTTTTTCTGTTTTGCTTTATTTTTGTTTTCTTTCTTGCTCCTGTGCAGGTGTTACAAGCTCTTATAAGTCACTTAAAAGTATCACTTACTTAAAGGTAGTTTAACTTTGAATTGAGCTTTGTTGTACAATTTGGTTCTTAAGAACTGACACTGCTAAAGTGATTCTTGAAGAACTAATTTCTTTTCTCCGTTCGATTTCTTTAATAATTTAAGCGCCTTGTAGTAATCGATCTTAATAAAATTCGTTTTCGGATCATCGGCACACAAGCCAGTTAATGATTATACCCAGTAATCGGTATGAACTTTATAGTCTTTTATTATTTGTTTTGGCTCCAAACTTCAGGTGGCAGGTTATAGCCATTTGCAACATGCCATGGCGATTAACTATATTTAAACATGAAACGTCTCACCGCGTACCCGCAGCTAATTGTCCTGGCTAAATCACAGTTGATTTAATTTAAAAATTCCTCGAGCACAGTCTGTTCAAGAGATTGCGATAAGCTACACTTAAGATGGCGTGACGGATTTTCAACTGCTTATGACTCATTTAAGATATTTTAAATTCATTGCGTCTCTTTCGTGGTAGAAATGTTAACAGGAAATTTATGAAACTGTGTCGCGATTCTACAAAGTGCCAAAGGCATTTTTTAGAACTAATTTCACGCATCAAAAACATTCCTTTGCTATGCCCAAGGTCGCATACGCTATCGCTGTACGGCATTGTTAGCAGATCTAGCAGGAATCGACACTTCGGATAATTTTACCCCCTAATCCATATTTGGCTTTCTGAAGTTATTTTTGTGTATCCTAATCTTAGCACAACCTCTTTGTACTTTTGCGGTGTTGTTTTGGTTTTCTTTCTTAATCTCAAATCAGAACTTATCTGAAGTTTTTTTTGCATCACTGCCTTTCCTTCCTGAATTTTTCAAATCCTTTGGCTTTCTGGGGAAATGTTAAGCGTTTTAGAAGTCGTTAAGCCCCCAACCCGTTATATTTTTTTTACCACGTTCGTCTGAAAACTTTCCGCATTTTAAGCCTACAGATTAGAGCCGTATTAAAAACAGTTTTTCTTTCTCCTTGTTTCTTCGTTTTTGGCATTTTTTGAATTGCACCTTAATGCCAACATGTTTTCTTTGAATCCAGTTTTTGACTGACTTCTAATAAAAAGAAACAATTATAATGGTCTTATTGTTGTTACACTTTGACATTGAAGACGGTATCAAATGGCACTTGTTAATTGAAAGGCGGGCAAATTTTTGTCGAAGTTTCGCGAACATAATCCCCGTATATTACGTCTGTTTCTGGTTAAAATTCTCAGTTGAAGTTTGCTCGCTCGAATCTCATTCGCAAAATCTTGCCGACTTCACCAAGAGAACACTGCAGCTTTTTTCTTCATTTAAACCATCATAACGTCTCCCATACTGATACATTTTAGCCACTCGTGGAGACTGGAGCAGAAGACTGTAGGCGGTGTTTTTGCAGTCTAATTGCGGATCTTTCGCCGTTCCGACTGCTAAATTGTTCAACTTGCTCTAGCAATGAACTATCAGCGGCTGTTGACGAGAAGGCTTTCTTCCACTCGCAGAGACATCAAAAGCAAAATCACAGGTTTGTGTGTATTGTATAAAAACAGTATTTAGCATCCAAAATTCGTTCTGCCCGGCAGGCATGTGTGACCAGTTTGTTCTCACGTTCATTGAAGCCAGATTTTATTGAAATCTGCTGTGTACCTGTCGAGAATGATGCTACGCTTGCCTGCATATCATCGTTCCGCAATACTCTACCCAGAAAACGTTTCATATGCAATCGTATTTTTTCCTTTTCATTGGAAATTTCTGTGTTGCTTAATTTCTATTCCCTCGTCCGCCTTTGTTCACATTTATCACAGCATCTTCTTAATAACTTTAATAGTTGACCTTGTAAGTAATCTAGAACTACGATTTGTAACCCTAGGCAGAAAGTATGCGCTACCTTTTGGAAGAAAAAAAAAACGTGTAGTTAAGTATAACTAGGCAATCTTCTGAATTTTGCGTCGACACGTTGTGCAAAGCTGTTTTTCTTCGCTTTTCCGTAATCTCACTCTGTCAGAATAATTAAAATGCTTTTCAAAATGTCAAAAATGCTCGTCAGAGAATGAGCCATCTTCTAGATCGCTGGGTCAAGTTACATGTTAACTGTTTAGCATTCCTCCGGTCGCGCAACTCGACACAAGTTCGTTTCCGAGTGGAGAAGACAGTGAAAGCGATTTGTTATCTTGTCTTTTTGATTCGTGTTTCGCACAGCCCTTTCGTCTGAGAATTGCAGTTCTGTTCCGTGTTCTTGTGAAAGAATTAATCTGTTCCGGTATCCTTGTCAATTTGACATCTTCGTGAGAGGAATTATCCAAATCCCAGAGTGGCTTTTTCGGGAAACTTCTCGTTGAATCTCAAACTGTCTCGGTAATTGTCTTAATCTATAGCTTCCGACCTCTTTGCAATCTTGAATTTGCTAAGCAAGGGAATAATCGGTGACATTAATCTGCTTACAAGTTGCTTTGTGTTATCGTGTTACAGAATACAACTTGTTACGTGAAATGTTGATCAAACCAAGGTCTCAGCTGTCACGCTTTAGAATACAAGCTTACTCATAATATTTACTTAGTTCATTCCATCGTGTTTTGGTTTGTTTATTTCTTCTTTTATCAGTGTATTTACACGAGCTCTCTGTGCCTTTTGTTCGTGCTAAATGCGATTGTGTACCTGGGGGGTTTAATGTTAAGTGTTTCGTTGCTCCAAGTTTATTTGAAATCTGCTCAACTGTCTGTATTAAGTGCCCACATCTGTCTGTCGCTATTGTTCTCTGTCTCATCAGTGCTCAACCATGTGTTCATCTTTGGCTGGAAATGAGAGTTTCTTTTTCCTTTAAAATATAAAGCCGCTGGGATAAGTTTTGAATTCTGTCTTGTGCGCTGATATAATTATTCCAAGGTGTTCGGCTTAATTTGGCATCATGTCGCGTTGTTTTGTAAATGATTGTCATTTTATGTGTAACTTCCGACCACTTTTAATTATCATTCCTGAATCGTCAACCTTCTTCTCAATACTTCAGTTATCTTTGTTGCTTTTAATCCTATCCCTGTCTGCTCGAAATATTATCTATATTCACCTTACTGTTACCACACTTTTCTTGTAATTTTTGTGGTTTTATGATGCCGGTCTCGTCCTATTTCAGATTAAAATTTTATTTTTTCTCCCAATCTCACTGCTTGGCCGTGGAAGTATGGTTTTAGCAAAGAGAAACTTTGTTGAGGACTGTTAATGTGTCGCAACCAATGAGCGTACGAAGTGCCAGAAATTCTGCCTACATTTTCCTTCTTCTATTATTTTTTTTCTTGATATTTCTTCCTAACTCCTACTTTCTGTTGTGTTTCCTTCACTCCCACGGAAACACGCGTATTTTCCAACCTCTTTAAGGTTTCGTAGAATTGAGCCATTTCTTTCCCCTTTTACAATTAACTGCTGTAATTGATGTTTATTTCGTTCGTTGCTTTCTTTATTTCTTTACCAGAAGTTCGCGGGGTTCAAATAGACCTGCAGTTTCTTTTCTGTACGATCATTAGATGGCCTTAGATTGTTTCTTGTTTTAGGTCGTTTTTCCAGGCCTCCTTAGACGCTTCCCTGGCCCTGTAAAGCCTATTTCTTTTGGGCTATCATTCTCTTAATTCCTATACCATACTAATCTCCCATGCGGTTTCAAAGCAATGTGGCGGATATTTCCTTTTGTATCTCTGCTGTGTGGGTTTTGATTCCCGAAACACCCACCCATTACAGCACTTCCTTATTACTTCCCACTTTAAGGCAAGTATTTCTGACCGACTGTTCTTTGCTCTTGAGTTTCTTGGCCACCTGCAAATCACGTGTTCTTCGTCACGTATTTATCACGTGTTTCTCCTCAACCCATGTGGAACTGCCCGTCATCCGTACGCTTGTGTGTTCTATTGTTAATCAGTGATCTTGTTTCCTATATAGATGGTATGCCACTAGGCCCCCCCGTCTTCATTCAACACCTGACGAATTGCGAGATCATAGAAAACAGCGCCGCCAGATTCGAGTGCAAGGTCAGCGGTAACCCAGAACCGGAAGTAGAATGGTACAAAGATGGCCGCCTACTCAAAGAAAGTAAACAACTCACATTCCTCTACGATGACAACGACAACTGCAAACTTATCATCACCAAGGGAACCGCAGCCGACGCTGGCGAATACACTGTGGTGGCCGAGAATCCGCACGGCAAAGTATCGAGTAGCGCACGACTGGTTATCGACACGGGCTCAACAGACGACGAAACCGCGAGCGAGTCCGAACTCTCTGAGCTTTCTGGTTCGGAAACGGAAGAAACGAAGATGACCGCGAAGGAAGAAAAGATCACGAAGTATTACACAGTTCAGGACGAGGTCGGCAAAGGACGGTTCGGTGTTGTCTGCAAGTGTATTGATAATAAGACCGGGCGAGCCTACGCGGCTAAGTTCATCAAGTGCACCACGCCCAAGGACCGTCAAGATGTGGTACACGAAGCGGAGATCATGAATACTGTTCGGCATAAGCGGCTTCTTAGACTTCAAGACTTCTTTCAGACGCCCACTGAGATGATCCTGGTTATGGAACTGGTGACTGGAGGAGAGCTGTTCGAGAAGGTTGTGGAGGACGAATTCATCTCGGAGATAGAAGTGTCGTATTACATGAAGCAGATCTTAGAAGGACTTCAGCACATGCACCAACGCGATGTGCTTCATCTTGATCTCAAACCCGAGAATATCATGCTTATTCGACCTGACAGCAAACAAATCAAGCTTATCGACTTCGGCCTGGCGAGAAAATACAACCCGAGGGAAAACCTCAAGGTCATGTTCGGAACACCGGAATTTGTCGCCCCGGAGGTCATTACATACGAACGTATCACACCTGCCACGGACTTGTGGTCTATCGGTGTCATAGCGTATATTTTGATGAGTGGTTTGTCGCCATTTATGGGGGACACTGACGCAGAGACTCTGACGAATGTTCAGCTGGCAGAATGGGACTTCGACGATCCTGTCTTCGATGATGTCTCCGAGGAAGCTAAGGACTTCATCAGTAGCCTTCTTGTACTCAGAGCAAACAAGAGAGGCACGGTTGATCAGCTTTTGAAACATCATTGGTTCACAGTTAAGAAGGACAAGGGAAAGAAACTGAAGACCGATCGCTTGAAGGCGTTCACAGCCAGAAGAAAATGGAAGCGAGCGATCACCGCCATTCGAAGCACGAACTTTCTTAGCCGGATTCTCGGAAGCCGGGGGTCCGATGATAAGAAGGGTAGTGGCGGCGCAGGTGGTGGACTCTTAGCCCGAGTCAAAGCAATGCATGCGGCTGGTATGCAAGGCTCGGAGGGTGGTGTCTCCCCGGCATCGTCGCCTTTCCTCTCGCCCGCTTCGGCTGCGCTCAGCACAAGTAATAGCTTTACTACAATTACAGTGACAGAAAGGATGCAATCACAGGGACAAGAAGGGACCACTGTTACGAAAAAAGAGACTGTGACCGTGACAAAAGACGGCGAAACAACCGTGGAGGAAAGAAAAAGTACAACAACAAGAAACGGCGAGACAACACAGCAACAGAGTACAATAAAAGTCGAAGAAGACGAAAATGGTTAGCGTGAAATTTTTCGTCAGAAAATCAAAATTTTAACATGAAAATTTCTTTGTAATGGAAAGAAGGAAGGAATCCAAGATGAATTCGATTCGGAATTGTGGAAAAATGTTGTACGCAGTGTTCTTACTCTTGTGAGTTTTTTTTGCTAACGCCATTTTGCTTTGTAGGTCACACGTAAGTACCATTCACATCACAGGAGTGCTATACTTTTTTTCCTTTTTTTAAATCTATATTTAACATGGCTAAGCTGTAGTTCTAGTTGTAAATAGTTACATTTCTTTGACTAACTGAAAAGAAGAGGGAACACTGAAGAAAATCAGGCAGATTACTTCGGCAAGGCCGTTCAGTTTTTTGTGTTTTCTAAAAGTTGAAAAACTTACCGAGACCGTAAAAATTCCAAAAATAATGGTTTAATTTTGTAAAACAGAACTGGACAAGAGACTGTAACCATTAGGAAGGGCGGATGACTAACGATCGCGAGGATGGAAGTAGATTGTAAAGCGGACAAAGTTGAAAGCGGAGGTAGCAATCATAGATAAATAGGCAAATGCCAAAACACGGGTTTTACTTTTCAAAATTTGTTCAGATTCCTCGATACTTTGCAAAAGTGTTACAAGTTTCATTTAGTGCCGAGCTGTAGGAAGATGATTTGTTATCAAAACTACAAAGTTGTTCTCTGCAAACTGTGTAACTTAGTTCTCAACGTTGGTAGAGTAGCCAAGATTTATGGAAAAACATGGCAGTTTTTGTTCAGTTGCAGATAATTTGAACAGTTTGAGCCAGCTATCAAGGAAATTATATCAGAAACATGATGGGGAAAATTAGAGAAGAAATTTTAGTCAAAAGTACGCGAAACGTTTCCCTTCCATCTGGTTAAGTTCATGTTTCCATGAGGGTGTTTGGGTGATATGCTGAAAACTGGCAATGTTATGCAATCGCTTCTCTTACTTGAGTGCGAAAAAAATCATCGTCTTAAGTTTTTGAAAAGTGATCGTTGAAATTCTTTTCAGGGTCTTTTTGTTTTGTCGAGGCAGGATCCTATTGTCAATAGTTCTTAGTGTGATGTTATTTGTATCTCTCCCGCAAAGGTTTACAATGCCTTATCTTAAAACAAACGTTTATGAAGTTATAAATAGGCTTCGCCTTTGATCGGATGATGGGTAAAAATCTAGCAAAAAAGCTGATTGAAAACCATATTCTTCCATGTCGAATAGAAGGAAGTTTTGAGAATTTCAAAGCTGATCTAGTAGCAGGTAGGATGGATTCTTTCAATTCCTGCAGCTCGGTGATGTTTTTGTGCGGAAACATAAACGACAACGAAACCTCGCGGGAAAATGCCGTATAAGGTAATTCTTCTGTTAATGATATATCGTCCAAAATTGTTGGAATCTACGTAATAATCGTTTATTTACCAGCAGGGTGCTCTTCTAAATTCATTAAAATCGTCTTTTCTTAGTCTTCTTGTATCCAAGTTCTATTATTAAAACCATTTCAAGCTACTCCGCTCGAAACATGTGTTACTTCGTTCGGTATTATGTTATCACTAAAATTGAAAACAGTTATTTTATCTTTGGAAACACTTGACACAACAAAATGAACTGGACTGTTTAAGAGACAGAGGGGCTTATTTAACTTCAATTTCTGTTTTGTGTTTAGTACAATCCACATTAAAAAGGTGATAGTCGTCAACTAATTATCAATGCTGAGGTTTTTACGGAATTTGTTTTACAGCCAACAGAGAATTAAGCGAGATATTGCACACAGACACGATTGTTGATATGCAGCTTGTTGCGTGACATGTAATTATGCAGAATTGAGAAGTCGTGCTGTCGGGATTTTAAAACTCATTTGACTGGAATTATCTTAAGCCGTAGCTTCCATTCTTCAAAGTTACTTCACGGTGAAGTCGAGCTACTTCAACCATTCTTCATATCTTGTGATTACTTTGAAACCTTTTGTCGTTTAGGACTGATCAACAACATGGCAGCCGATGCAAGTAAGTGACAGGCATTTCCAAAGTTCATTTGAAGGCGTTAACCTGTGGTACTGCTGGTGCAAATTGTTCTCTGCTCATGTAATAATTTGTGGTATCTGTTATAACTCTCTCACAATATAGAAGAAAATCTACATTCGTATTTGCTGTAATTGACCTTGCTATTATTAAAGAGGGCTTACAGCTTGCATTTCTAACAAGATTTACCTATATCGTAATTTGTAAGCTTTTTTATTGTGGCCGAGTCAAATCTTGTAGATCTGCGATCGCTTTCCACACTTCTTATACTTTTGTTTTCTCCTTGTACTTTTTCTGTAAGTTTTTGTGTTGATCCATTTTAAGCCAGGGCCCATCATCTACTTGTTCAGTTTCTGAAGTGCTTATAATTTTGGATTTGCTTCTTGAAAACGAGCACGTAGGCGAACTCCACAGCCTACTGTGAAGAACACAACGAAGCTTTTTGTTTGAAGCTAGTTAGCCTTTACAAAGTAGTTCCCATGATGTAGACAGTCTTCCAGCCTCACTAGTGTTTTTATCTCCTTGAGAGCGACACTTGCTCTTACACTACCCTTCATCCTCCCCACGGGCTTTTAATTGGTAATGACAATTTATTAAAGAAAACTTGACAAGATTTTAGAAGGTATTCTGTGATCGACTAGCATCTCAACCAGGCAAGGGGAGTCCATCGTACTATGGAAACGAGAATTAAGCGACGGTTGCATTCGCTCTTGTAGACAGTGTTTTCCTTTATGCAGTTTGGATATTTTCCCCTGAAATAACAGTACCGGTTGTGTTTGTGTATTAAACATTCTTAAGGAGATTCAGATGCCTGGGAAAACTGTAAAATTGAAAACATTGTTTGCTGCTTGCTGGAAAACAAATATTTACGTTACCTTTTGTTGTGCTGGAGATAACATGTCTATCTCTTGCAAACATTGGAAGAAATGTATTAAAAACTTATTGATCGTCTGTTATGTCACGCCCTTAGAACTGTTTTCAAAGATCGTTCATTTCGTCTCGTTGCGTTTGCGAAGGTTCGTCACGAGATTTATTTCATTGCTAGAGTGATCTCAAACAGAAAGAACTTTGGCGTTAAATATTTTGATACAATAAGCTTGATGAATGGTCAGACTTCATGCATATTTTTCCTGAAATGCTTTGAAATCCTGAAACTCGGTCATGTATGTCGCAGTTAAAGATTATTTCTGTCGCTCTGTGCTCGAGTTTGCCAATGCATTTCGTTTGATTTGCTCGCTTTTCGTGGTAGAAACTTATTCTTGAATCCTTTATTGTAGATAAAACGTGGATTTTGCGTTTAAATTGGTGTCAGACTCGATCGTCGTGCAATAACTTAAAAGCGTGACCAAAAATATTGTTTCCACTTCCTTTCAGTTAGTCAGTGATAAAGGTCAGTAATTATCATATATCAAATACGTACAAGTCGCTGGTCAGCGGTTGCATAGTCTGCTTCATATCTGGACAGTCTACTACGTCGTAATTTAGATGGCAAACTACCAGTGTAGCGACTCTCATCCAAGGGTCGGTAGTTTCACGAAAAAATTGTGGAACTCATCTAGAACTGTAATGTGCATCGTGATTTTGCTAGATCAAAAATTTGTTCACAATTCTTTAGAAAGTACTTGTGTTATTTCCTCAGTTTTAGTGAAGTGAAACCCAAATTTAAGCATGAGATCGTCAAGCAAGTCCATGGTCAAAAGAAGCTAAGCTTCTGTTTCTAGATAAACTCGGTCTCATTGAAGACGTCAAAGGTAACAGAAACCCTTTTCCAATCTGACGCCGGCAAGAAGGGCCAATTTGCGTCTTGCAAGGAGTTCAGTTGTTAAGCCTGGGTTTGATTAGCGATGCAAGCATATTCTCAAACACACGAGTCCATACAGACACTTGGAAACACAAGAGTAAGACCAAGGATCAACATGGTTTTATTTGTATGCTTGCACTTGTGTGTCTTTGTGTTAATATGGACGTTATGTGCTTGAGCGTATGCTTGCATCACTAGTGAAAACCACGCTTAAGTTGCACGTTCCTCCTTGATCTAAGTGTGTTTCTTGTAATAATGTTTAGGTAAGACAGGAGGTCTTGGAGGAGCAGCAAACACTCCACAAGCCATCGCCAAGCGTTATGCCTCAGGCGGAGTGGCGCTCAAGTTGGAAAATGTCGACAAATACTGGGGTATCAAGCACGAATTAGCAAGGTAATGGAATACCTTTATCAAAGTCTTTATTCTCCTTACGACATCAGTATGTTTTCAAACAGACAAAGGATAAGAAGAAAGAAAATCATCAACTAAGAGATATTATCTTGGTGTACCATGAAATTCTGAGAACGGCCATAGAAAGACATGAAAAATCGAGTGTTTGGGAAACCGGAATTTCCCTGTAAGAATTTTGACAGGGTGCAAACGCTGTTGACGAGTTGTAAAATAAGAACTTGTGTTAATGCTACTTTGTTTTATCCCAGGGGCCGTTTCTCAGTAATTAAGCGCTGTTTAGATGCCAAGACAAAGAAGCCATTTGTAGCTAAGATCATCAAATATGATGATGACACGGATCGCGATGACACGCTTCAAGAGTTTGACATTCATCGCAGCATTAAAGGAGAAAAAGTTGTCATGTTACGAGATGCGTTTCTTTTGAGGAGATATCTCGTCCTTATTATGGACCTGTAAGTATGCCATAAATAAATAATAGCCCCCATTTGGCACGAAAATATACTCAGATATTTGTCCACGGGCATATCAGTTTCGAGAAGAAAACTGAGTTTCGACGAAGATACAATGTCCAAGGACAAATATCTCAGCATAGTTTTCCTTCACATATTTTTCGCAACACGCGTGATCTTTTGAAAATTGAGGAATATCACTTGGATATTCCCCCTGATATTCCCGCGGGTGTTCCCCAGTTTTAGTTGGGGTATATTCAGTCACGTGACGGGTTTAGACCAATCGCTCTGGCTTATCTTTAAATTCACTTTTTTGCGCGTCATTTCTTTGTCCATAAGCTCAGTCGACTTGTGTCTTTTGATTTTGCTGTTCCTCTTTGATTTTGCCGTCCCAAAACCCTAAGTTCCTAAGTTTCCTAAGTTTGATAAAAATCTAATTTCCTCACACTTTATCACTACATTTTCAAGCGGACAACTGATGAGAATAACGAAAATCATCAATTGATCTCGAGACTCTAAAGCTCTAAACACTATAAATTACAATTAAGCGCTAGTACTGCTAGGTCATGTTACTAATCTGACCATTCATTGGAAAGGTGATTTAATTTATTTTGTCTTCAATCTCAGGGTCGAAGGGCAAGATATTCTGAGCTTTGTTGGATCCAAACCAAGACCAAACGAAGAAGACATCGCATTTGTTATGCGGCCCTTGATTGAAGTAGTGAATTACCTTCATGGACAGCAAATTGTTCATTTAGATATAAGGGTGAGTGTAATTTCGGGATCCTCCGACCGACCGATTGACCGACCGAGTCACTGACTGACTGACTGACTGACCGACCGACCGACCGACGGACTGACGCAATGACTCACTTTTTGACTCACTGACTGTCTCACTTATTGATTGACTCACTCACTCACTCAATCACTCACTGCCTGACCCTCTGGCTAATTAAATTTCTTTGAATGGCTTACTTGCCAACTTGATTGGTTGATTGCCTGCTCCATTGATACTTGTTTTTTTATTATTATTTATTTATTTTTATAGCCCAGCAACATTTTCATTGCCAAGAGCAATTTGGGTGTGAAACTTATCGATTTTGGAAGTGCTCGCCGCATCAAGAATTGGAAGGAAGGCGACATGCTGGCCATTGTAAGCTATCCTGCGTTCACAGGTACGGTGTTGCGGGTAATAGTGTCCAGGTCGTATTCAGTCATGGTATTTTGAGTTATTTTGGACACGTACAAAACTACTTTTAAATTGAAGGAAACCTGAAAATAGTAGTTTACTATGATAGAAAAACACAAAAGAGATAATAATAAACCATAAAGAAACAAGGATGGCTAGCGATGGAAGAGATTAACACGAAGAACAAACGACGAACTTGAAATATTTAGGCTGGACATTTCAACATGCGCAAACCGTGACGTAGCTCCATTGAAATGATAAAAAGAGAAAAAGTACGATTTGGTGACTCCTACTTTTCCTGCTCTAACAAAAAAATAAACGCAAAATCCGAAAATGAGTTTCAGCAAAATAGTAAGACAAGATATATTTTACTGAGTTTTTTCCTGCCCTTTTTTTGCCGCCACGAGATTTTCGCAGAAACTCGTAATAAAGTAAGGACGGGTGCCACATTTTTTCCCGCCAAAAAATGACAGCCAGCTCACACGCATACACTCTTATCATTGATTGATCTAGTACTCTTAGTTATTATGTATTATTGTAAAATTAAGTTTGATGGAAGTTGGCGTTTGTTTTAAGGTAAGCTTCTCGCCCATTCACTGGGATTAACACGATACGTTTTTTCCAGCTCCTGAACTTTTGGACTTCGCTCCAGTCAGTGGGGCGGCCGACATGTGGAGTATTGGTGTTCTCGTCTATGCTCTGTAAGTATAAGTTTTATTTTAGAAGCACCATGGCCGAGTGGTTAGGGCGCCGGACTTGAAATCCGGAGGTCGCGGGTTCAAGTCCAGCTCTGACCACTAAGCTGGAGTTGTTTCCTGGTAGACCCCAGTTCAACTGCCCGGTCATGCTTGTAAATAGCCAGCTGGTCTGTCTCCCGCCAGTTGGGATTTTTGAGCCTGTTATCATCTGACCATTATGATCAAGACTTTGCAATCTATGTTGCTTTCTCGTTCTTTTTTTAGCATGAGTGGATCTCTTCCATTTGCGGTGGAAACCAAAGACGATGAAGATGAAGACGAGAAAATTTGCGAGTGCGTCCAGAGGGGCAAATGGTCTTTTGACTCCAAAGCCTTCGCTCGCAGCACTTCGGAAGTGAAAGACTTCATCACTGCTCTTATGAGCAAGGACGCCAAGTAAGTCCCAAGTTTGAAATGCAAATTCTGTTTACTGTGTTGCATAAATTTCTCTCAATACAAGATGTGAGAATTTAGTGGCTCATCATATCCACCAGAGAAAACAATTCGGTAGCTTTTATGCGACGGGTCCACACTTCGCTGGGGAAATTTGAAAACGCCACAATCACCGGTCTTTTTGGATTTGTGTTTGACGAAGGCCCAAGCAGGGAAATCACATGATTGTCGTGATTTCGAAAAGTTCCGTTTTAAAAATGTTTTCCGTCCACACAAAAACGTAAAACCGGCGTTTTCAATTCCCTCCGGTTTGAATAGCGTTTTCGAAAAAGCTCCGTTTTCGTGACGGATTAGTGTGGACGCTGGGCTTAACCATGGAGATAAAGCTGCGTTTTCCAGTTTCTCCGGCGAGTTGTGGACGCCGCCTTAGATCCCTGCTAGTAGTTTGGACATTTTTTTCTCAGTTTAGTGTAATACTGAACAGCGCTGTTCCTCAGATTCCTTGACAATTTCTAGCGACATTTAACCAGTTTGGATAACCGCATCGAGGCATTCGCTAATACATTTTTCACACAATTGATTTTCGTCCTCTTTTTCGTTTTCCTCCAGAAAACGTCCATCTGCCGAAGAAGCATCGAAACACCCTTGGCTTGCGGTAAGTTTCAACTAATGGTCCAATATTGTATTCTTAAAAATCCAAAAACGAATTTTGCGTTTCTTTACAAAAAAAGGTTAATCCAAGATCATTCGGATCATGGTGCATCAAAGGAACGGAAGAATCTACTTTGGACAAGGATTCTTCTGTTCTGGATTAATCTGTTTAGTTAAGAAAATCCGAAAAATTAGAAAAATCCGGTTTTGGATTAATTAAGAATCAATCTTCTATTTTCCCAAAGAAACGCACCTCAAGCCTTTCTGTCAAAGTGTACACATCATCCCCTCCCTCCCATCCCTCTGGCCTAGAAGGAACTACGTGTCTCAATCTTTATTCTTATGTTGATCATTTTTCGTGCTTTTTGATCTATTTTCTCCGTCTCTCTGCCGGTTTCCACTTGTGCAAACTATTACCGTCTCTCACGACCCCATTGGATGTGCCTTTTCGTGACTGTTACTTGGAGTATCCTGTGACACTGCTTAAATTCTGTGCTTTATTTTCAGGGTGAGAACATGCAGAAACGTCGTTCATCAGACGTCACAGCTTCTAAACTCAAAGATCTTGCTCAAAAACTTATGCAGAAGGTAAATGGATAAAGTAGATTTTCACTAGAAAAATCTTAAATTTGATTTTGAAGAAATGTAGAAATTAAATAGCTACAAATGAACATACTGTTCAGTAGTTTTCATATGAATGGTCTCACGTTGGGGTTTCGTCAAAAATATATTTAATGTATTGACTACATTGTACAATGACTGCTTAAAGGAGCTCACTCAGGGTAATTTGAGTTATTTTGGCCACGTACAAAATTACCTTTAATTGAAGGAAACCTGAAAATACTAGTTCACCAAGATAGAAAAACACCAAAGAAATAATAAACCATAAAGGAACAAGGATGGTTTAGGATGGAGAAGATTAATTAAGACGGATTACAAACAAGGAATGTGAAACATTTAGGCTTAAGTTTACAAGATGCGCAAACCGTGACGTAGCTCCTTTGATACCAATCAATCAGTCAATCAATCAATCAATCAATCAATCAATCAATCAATCAATCAATCAATCAAAACTTTATTGATATGCCAGTCTAGCTATCCAAGGGAAACACCCCGCTACTAAATGGGACACTTAAATATGCCCACATTTTGGACACAGTCGAGGCAAACGGCCAACAACAACAACGACAACAACAGTAGCTAACGTTTTCTGCTCTTTCTTTTTGTAGGACAAGGAAGACGTTGTTTCAGCTTCCTGTGTCCTAAGGACCTTCACTGAAGATCCTTACGACTCCCCGGACTCAGACGAGGAGTAGATCTGCGTACATAACAGATAACGGGCCAAAAAGGCACATTCCTGTGCTGGCACCAATATTTTGCTAAATTTTTGTCTTATGACTCAATGTAAACTTATGTAGCTTATTCTAAACATTTTGATAAAGCGAATTTTAATCGAGTTTTTCAATATGCGTAATTATTCGGTATTTTTGTATCGATGTTTTTCGACCGCAAAACAGTATTTATTTTTTTGTAGGAAAGATTTTTGTGATACTGTTTGTAAAGTGTGTTAATATCGTCATGGAGTCGAGCCAAGTTTTATATTTGTATGCTGCTGAAAGTCCATCGTAAATGTTTGTTGTGATTATTTTTCTAATTCTTTCAATGTAAGTTTATTGAATAACAATAGTGATGATAAAACTTAGGAGAAGGATAGCAACTATTATGCTTAGAATTCTTGAAATTTCATCATAAAGAACTCAAGAAAGTTGTTAGTGGTACAAGAAAGCCCCCCCGATATTCCGTCATGATTCATAGAAAAATGTTGTTTTTCAATATTTAATTCTATAGCAACACAATTTTGTAAGGAAAAAAATCGAATTAAAATATATTGTTGACGAATACTTCCTCTCTAGTAGTCTTGACGTTTTTTTAGTTTTCGACAACAAATGACTTTCCATAGCTCCGGGGACTTTATGCCCTTATATCTGTTTCATTACCAGGAATAGGACTGCTTTGCAATCGCGAGGCTCTAAGTGATTGTCAGGCCAACGGGATATTAACGTGAAAAATTAACGGGATACAGGATATTTTGGGGGAAAATAAATGGGAAGTGGGATATTTGGTTCAGATAAAGCCGGGTATCGATTAGGAAAATCGTTAATTTTTGATATTGGAATTAAGGGGATCCGGGATATTCAGGCAAAAATTTACCGTGATGTGGGATACTCGGGTGTCAGACATCCCCTCCCCCCTTCTTTTGGGACCTCGATATCGTGGAATCTGATCTCCATTAAACCTTCTAATTGAACAACAACAGCCGAGCACTTTAGAATTTAGCGTCTTACCCTACAAGGCTTCTTTCTGCCATTATTTGTTCGTACGAGGAAGTGACATGGCAAATTTTTGCACATAGAATGGAGCTACAGGATTGCAACTCAGATTTTATGTCTTTTGTGTTGAAGAGGATCAGGAAATTTAAACATGAACCATAAAAGATATGCGTATAGGTGCTAAGCAACCATTCTCGAGGGATTCAAATGACAAAGATCTTGGCGGCCATATCTATGAAAATGATAGTTTGCTGCACCCTCGAGAGTTTACAGATACACCATCAAGCCATTACGTATTTCAAGCCTTGTCTCAACTAGAGTTCGCTTCATAAAGTCGGCATCAGTAAAGGAAATTAAGAGCTCTGGCGCTAGTTGAAGCTTAAAAATTTCGGATGGTTTTATTTTCGGGCACTTAATTCGTCCGAAATTAAAATCGTCCAAAATTTTTTGCAAGTAATGTTTGTTGCTGTCGAGATGCTCAAAACCAAAACATATCTGGTTCGCAGGAAACCTATTCAATCAATAATGGTTACATTTTGTGCCGGTTCTTATCTCCCAATAACATTGCCAATCACTCTGGAACAAAGAAAGCATCAAGTTTTCTAATCTTTTCTAAGTTTCGCTTTGTCCTGTCTCGCAGGAGCCACTGTACTTGGACGTGCGTAATTTACAGAGACTGGTAAGTTGAAAAAATAGGTCCGCAATGCGTATATATATATAAAGGTAGTCTTATTAGAAAAAACTGTTTTAATTGAGCAATTTGTAAGGGTTTAATCTCAAACTTATCAATA